ATTCAGAAAACGAAGATTATGGCATCCAGTCCCATCACTTCACGGCAAATAGATGGGGAAACAGTGGAAACAGTGAGAGACTTTATTTTTCTGGGCTCCAAAATCACTGCTGGTGACTGCAGCCATGAAATTAAAAGACACTTGCTCCTTGGAAGAAAAGCTATGACCAACCTAGACAGCATATTAAAAAGCAGAGAGATTACTTTGCCAACAAAGGTCCGTCTAGTCAAAGTAATGGATTTTCCAGTAGTCACGTATGGATGTGAGTTGGACTATAAAGAAAGCTGAGTGCCAAAGAATTGATGCTTTTGAAGTGTGGTGCTGGAGAAGAGTCTTGAGAGTCCCTTGGAGTGCAAGGAGATCCAATCAGTCCACCCTAAAGGAAATCAGTCCTGAACATTCATTGGAAGGACTGATTCTGAAACTGAAGCTCCAATACTGTGGCCACCTGATGTGAAGAGCTGACTACTTTGAAAAGACCCTGATGCTGGGAAAGTTTGAAGGTGGGAGGAGGAGGGGAGAACAGAGGATGAAATGGTTGGATGGCATCACCAACTCGATGGACAGGAGTTTGAGCAAACTCCAGATGATGAAGGATCTGGAAACCTGGCGTGCTGCAGTCCATGGGGTCGCAAAGAGTCGGACACAACTGAGTGACTGAACTGAGGCTTGCCATAAGAAAGGGGTGCTTATAGATGCTAACATGATTCAAGAAAAGGCAAAGTCACTACATGGCAACTTGAATGGAAGGTGAAGGATGTAAAGATGGAGAACTGAATGCCAGCAAATGGTGTTTTGATGATTTCAGATGGAGGTTTGGCTTTAAAAACGTCAGGGTAACAGGAGAGGCACTTCTGCTGACCAAGAGCCAGCAGACAAGGTCCAGACGCCATTAAGAAAATCACTGCACAGAAGGGCCATCTGCCTGAGCAGTGCTTAATGCAGACAAAGTACTGTACTGTATTCTTGGGAAAATGCCACAGAGGACATTGAGGAGTACAGAGAACCCAGCAGCAGGGTTTAAGGCGGGAATGAATGGGCTGCTTCTCCTTTGCGCAGATGCGGTCAGGTTTATGACAAGACGGCCCTTGAGCCTGAAGAGAGAAGAGGCCCAGCAAGTGCCCGTCTTTGGTTGGACATCAGGAGGTCGGCATGGCCAGGCCACGTCTTCTGGATTGGTTCCACTGATGCCTGGTCCCTGAGTTCAGGAAGCTCCTCGTCAGTAAGAGATGGTGTTTCCAGTTTTGCTGCCGCTGAGTAGAGCCCCCGGCCACACACAGCCCCAGGAGTTCAACGCTGAATGCACAGACATGGTCTGCTTCCCCAGACACGGCGGCTCCGCTCAGCTCTAGGTCAGGGGTCATGAGGACCTCTGAGGCTCCACACACGACACTACGGGAAGGATCGTCAACGTCATGAGAGTCTGGGAGGCTGACACCATTGACAATGCTGTTGTTCTAAAAAAAAAATCCTGCTGGAGAAAACTGTCTCGATGCTGTGCGTGACTCCACAGGGTTTACGACAGAGCCAATCAAGGAAATCACGAGAGATTGTGGGTCTGGCAATATGCCCTGGAGGGTGAACAGGTCTTCAGGAGATTCCAGGGCTGGGACTCCCCTGCCGGCCCAGCGGTTAGGGCTCCATGCTTCCACTGCAGGGGCGCAGCTCAGACCCCTGGCCGGAGAACTAAGATCCCACATGCCTCGAGGCGTGGCCCCAAAATTAAAAAGTTCCAGGGCTAACAGACACCACAGCAGAGGCATTGACAGAAGAGATGAGATGAGAACTGAACCATGGCCAGACGGTGGAGGAGAAGACGCAGAAGACGCAGCGCCAGGGAGCAAACTGACATCAAAGCAGCGGGCAGAAGGGCTCCGATTCTTCAAGACAGCTTCCCACTTCTCTACGCACAACACGGGCAAACGGGGAAGGGCTGGTGCAGTGTGGAAGCATGTTTAGAGGAGACAGAGAAGCCAGGCGGGCATTGCGAGGTGTTTCTATGAAGCCCCTGTCCCCCCACCCCCTCCTCGGCCGCCTGAGAGACAGCAAGCCTGTCCCCCCGGCCCCCGCCAGCCTGCCCAGCCTGGGGACAGGAGGGCTTTACAACCCTCCTCAGTAACGAACAGGGAACGGACAGACCTCTCGTGTCTTAACGTGACAGCCTAACAGCTGTGCACTGTCCAGGGCTCGTGTGGAAGCGGCCAGTCTGTCCTCAGAGACGGGCGGTGAGCGGCGCTGACCACAAAACCAACCACGTGCCGCTTTCGTTTCTAACTATGCTTTCAAAGAACTGTGTGCAACTGTAAGTGGGGAAAGTGTCAGAATCTGTCACCGTAGCTTTTCTTGTTTAATGCAAGTGGCCCCAGTGCTGCATCATGAATATGACGGCAATGCTGTGCGCCAGAAAAGACGAGGACAGTCCGCCCATTAGCGTGTGGGCTGGCTACCCTGAAGGGCCCATGCTGATTCTAAATGAATCGTTTTGGCTGTGCCAAGTCTTCGTTGCGCACGGGCCTTCTCTAGTTGTGGGGCGTGGGCTCCTAACTGCAGTGGCGTCTCCTTGCAGAGCACGGGCCCCTACAGCTCGGGCTTCGTCACTCCAAGCTGTGTGGGATCTTCTCGCATCAGGGACTGAAGGTGTGTCCCCTGTGTTTGCAGTCCCTCGTCTTTTTTCCGTCTAGTATTTGTAGTATGTGTAACATCCACAGCGCTCTGTACGGTGTGGGTCCTGACAGATGATCCATCCTGGGGACAGGTGACAAAAACTCGTGATCCTGATACAGTACCAATTTTTCTTCATGATTTTTTTGGGGGGGCTGCACCTCAAGGCTTGTGGGATCTCAGTTCCCCAGCCAAGGAGTGAGCCCTCACCCCCTGCAGTGTAAGTGTGGAGTCTTACCCTCCAGACCACCAGGGAAATCCCTCTAGTTTTCTTTTCTATAGCCTTACATGATTGGAAGAGTATATAACCTGCAAAAATGTCAACTGTTCATGTTATCGATAGGGCCTTCAGTCAACAGTAGCTGTTAGAAGCTAAGCTTTGGGGGAGTCGAAAGTGTGATTTCTGACTGGGGGCAGGACCCCTGCCCCTGCGTTGCTCGAGGGTCAAGTATACATTGATGTTGCCAAGTTTGGGATTCTCAACGGCAGAAGACAGGACACACAGATATGGAATGAGAGGGGCAAACACCTAGAGATGCGGTGGAGCTGGTGGTGTCAGCATGGCACGTGACTCAACACCTGAGCACGTGTCTGCGCGTACACGCCTATCAGCGTGTACACATGCCCACATGTCCACACATCAGTGTGTGCACGTCCACATGTCCATGTGTGTTTGCGTGTGCCCACACACAGGTGTGCCTGATAGCCCCCCTCGGCAGAAAGGCCTAGAAACACAGGCACGCTGAAAGCAGCGGGCACATTTTGCAGCTGGATCTTGGTCTCTCAAACCAGCCCCGTCACAAGGAGCCAGGGCACTGAAAACGGCTGCCTCCAGGGCAGAGACAGAGGCCCGAGCAGCCTGGGTGGACACCTGGTGCCAAGCAGCCGCCACGCAGGAGGGTCCTGATGGGGCCTGTGTCTCGGACAGCACAGCTGACCGGACCCTGGGCCAGGCTGCAGCCGGACACCAAGGCAGCCCACAGGGCTGTTCACAACCCAGCCAGCCCGGCGGCATCCATCGGGGGCCACATGCAAAGGCAGACCTGCTACTGGCAACTGAGTACCACACGCCGGGAAGTGGGTGCCTGGGAAGGGGGAGTGGTGGGCGTGAAGGTGCCACAGACCGGCTGCAGCAGGATCCCAGGGGGCGCTGCTCTGGGGGGGCGAGGGGGGGGCAGGGTCTCCCTGTGGGCAGGTGCTGCAGACTGTCAGCTTCAGTGCAGAGGCAGTCCCTGAAGGTGGGGAAGCCCCCCCCGGCACTTCCTGGGACACAGACGCTCGGGGTGGAGGCCAGGCCGTCGGTGACTCACTCTGGACTGTCTGAAGATTCCGTGTCTCTGTGCGCAGGCATGTAGTGTGTGTGTGGATGTACAGTGTGTACACACGTGAAAAGCACGCGCAGTTCTCCGCATCCTCACCAGGGCCTGGTGGGGCCGGACACATGTCGGGAGCTCGGTGGACACAGTGCAGGAAGCGGGAAGAGCCAAACTCACTTGAGCCAGTGACGCCTGCCTGCCAGGTGTCGCAGAGAACCAGTGATAAGACGATGTGCGATGTTGCTCATTCTTTCTGAACATGTTTATCTCCTGAAACCTCTTCTGAAACAGTGTGCCCGTGACCACAGGGGAGGCCCCGCCCCGCAGGGCTGGGTGCAGTGGGGTGTGCCCAGCACACGCTGGCCCTCGGGTTTCCACCGCCCAGGGGCGCTGCCAGGCACCAAGAGGCCACCGCCTGTTGCCCCAGAGCAGCTCCTCAGGGCGAGGCCCGTGGCCTGGAGAGTGGTCACCCTCATTACTGCAGGCTGCAGGCGACACGGCCACGGGGACCCAGGCGCGGCCAGGGATGGGCAGCCGCTGTCCTTGGTCGTTTCCCGGCTCGACTGGAGGGAGCTGGCGGGCACCCACATCCCTGGGGGCCCCACCCCCGCTCAGGGAGGCCCGCGGAGCCGCTCTAAAAGCACAAGTTTGGTCTGTAGGTTCACGTTAAAGGGAGGCAGCCTGCTCAGATTCACACTCAGTCCAGTGGTGCCTGGGACGTGGGCCAGGACGCGGTGCGTGTCCCGGTAGAGCTCCAGGGACCCGGGAGCGGCCTCCATGAGCAGGTGTGTGTAGGCCAGCATGCGCGCCGAGCCCGGCTGCAAATCCTCCGTCTTCTCGTACCTGCGGAGGAGAGCATGCCATGCCCCGCGGGCCCACGCTGGCCCCTGGCACCCAGCGCCCCCAGGAGCCGGCGCCAAAGGGTGGACATACCTCCAGGCGCTGTTGACCTCCAGGAAGCGGGACACGCCTGTCTGGGCAGCGGCCACGTCGATGTGCAGGACGACATCTGTGGAGAGCAGGCAGGCCCCGTCAGCGCCACGGGCCCGCGCCTCTGCCGAGACCCCCCGGGCCTGGAGCCGCGCGCCCACCTGCGCGGGCAGGCACCAGCTGGTGGAGCCTCTGCATCGCCACGCCGCCGGGGTAGTTGAAGTGGGACACATACAGGCCCATGGCCGAGTATGCGGCGTTCACCACGAGGTGCCCCATCACCAGGAGGGACCCCACTCTGTGCAGCCAGGATGTCCTGTGACTGTTCAGCCTGGAAGGGAGCAGAGAGCCGGGAAGCGCCGTGAGGAGCATGCCTGCCCACTGCTGCGTCTCCATGCGAGTGGTCACCACGCAGCAGACACAACAGACTCGGAAACCCGGCCAGGTGCCAAGGTCAAACCCGTGTCAGTGCTTCGAGCATCCCGAGTTACCCCTCGGGCCAGAGCCCAGCCTCGGGCACATCCCAAGCACGTCCCAGGTGCCGGGCAGAGCAAGGACAGGCGCCTGCTGCCTCTACAAGCTGGTCAGGCCGACCACGGGCCCTGCGGACTCGGGCTGGACCCCGCACCAGACCCCGGCCAGGCACCCGGTTGAGCCCGTCGGTTACCCTAGACACCCGCCCCTTCACGACCCAGTTCACGGCCCAGGCGAGCCCGCAACGTGGCCGGCGGCACTCACACGCGGGCACAGCCCCTGGCGGCCACGATGTTGAGCAGCGGGAAGGCGTAGATGATGAAGCGCAGCTCCTTGTGCGGCAGCAGTGAGTACAGGGCCACGAAGCCCAGCGCGGGCAGCAGCAGCACCAGGGCCCGCCTGTCCACCGCCCCCAGCGGCACGAACAGCAGGCTGCAGCCCAGCCCGCGCGGCAGCGCTGAATAGAAGTACCAGAGCAGTGGCGAGGTCTGTGCGCGTGTCAAGGAGGCTGCCGGCTCCCCCGAACCAGCCCTGCCAGCCTGACAGCGCCCTACCCGCGGCACCCGGGAGCCCACAGCTGGGGCCACGGCATGACCCCCCACGGGGACAGTGACCCCCAACACAGGGACAGTGACCCCACATGGGGATGGTGAGCCCCACATGGGGATGCTGACCCCTCACGGGGACGGTGACCCCTCCCACGGGGATGCTGACCCCCCACACAGGGACGGTGACCCCACACAGGAATGGTGAGCCCCACATGGGAATGCTGCCCCTCACAGGGACGGTGACCCCTCCCACGGGGATGCTAACCCCTCACAGGGACGCTGACTCCCCACACGGGGACGCTGACCCCCCCCACCCGCCATGGGCTGCCACAGCAGCAGATGGCGAGAGGGACTGCCCAGAACCATCCCTCCATCTTTCACTGTGAAAACAGCCTTTCTCAGGGTCGGGGGCACACTGGGGACCCATAGCATTCTCTTTGGGGATGTCTTTTAAAGAGCCCAGAGTAAAATGTTAAATCAGAAGATCACAAGGACCGAGGAGAAGCTGGGGCTAAGATACTGAGTGGTGTTTTCTCCGGGCACAGATTCAGGACCAGGGAGACCCGCCCTGCAGAGAAAGAAGTGCTGATGCTGGCGCCATGGCAGCCGCCATGCTCCCTGAGGCGCAGGTGCAGCAGACAGCAGCTCCTTGCTCTGTGCCAACAGAAGGATACGCCCCAGTGGGAACTCTTGTTCAGGACGGTGTTGTACCAGAGCACCTTCCCTTCTGGCCACACGAGGTAGCGCCAGAAATAGGAGTCCACAGCCACTGTCAGTCCTGAGGAAGGAAGAGCGGCTCAGGAGAGCATGGGCCGCCCCGGAAGCTGTCACAGGCAGAGGTCGCCGAGACGCAGCCCTGCCAGCACGGCACCCAGGAGCCACAGCAGCGTCCCCCAGAGGAGCTGAGGCGTCGGAACCGCCCCCAAACCAGCCTCCACACACAGGTGCCCCGCGTCTGCCCGGCCTGGCCGAGGCACAGTGAGGGGCCCCTGACAAGGGGGTCTCGGGGGGACGCTTGGGCAGCAGAGCCGGAAGACCTGCACCGGGGCCCTGGAGCCCCACAGGAGGCGCAGGTGACTCCACTTAACGAGAAAGAGAAACGAGAGCGCGCCCCCTGTCAGCCCAGCCCCGCGGCCCACTCACCCAGGCAGAGGATCCCGGCTGGCACGGCACAGCGCAGGGCCCGGGGCAGCGAGAGCTTCCGCCAGCAGAGTGGCAACAGCAGCGCCAGGCCCAGGAGCAGGCTCAGCTCGGCCCTGAAGACCAGGATGACGAAGGCCGAGAGCCAGATGAAGCGGGCCCACCTCTGCTGCAGCCAGGCCGCCAGCGCCAGCAGCACTGCGGGGGGCGGGCGCAGGGTCACCCTCTGCTCGGGGGGCGCGCGAGCCCCGAGACCACCCGCCCGGCCCCTCTGGGGTCCCTGCCCCCCTCCCGGCCCCGCGGACCAGCTCCTCCTCCGGGTGCTGCTCCGGGGAAGCCCTCGCCCCGCCAGTCCCCCTGAGGCCGAGCTGGAGCCCTGCACGGGGACAGAGCTGGCTCGCTTCCTGGCCTTCCTGTCCTGCGTTTCTGGGACACCTGGTGGGCAGCTTTTGACAGACACTCAGATGGACCCCTCCCCGCCAGCCAGGGGGACCCAGGCAGGATAGGCCAGCAGCGACATACCCACGGGCAGGGCCAGCACGTTGGGGAGCGTCCGCGTGCAGTAGAACATCAGGTGGAACTGTGAGGCCGTCACCCAGCAGAACAGGGTGGCCACCGTGGCCCCAAACTGCCGCCTCACTTCTTTTTGTAACGTCCAGAGTCCAAGAATCACGCCAAGTCCCAGGACGGCCCTGACTGAGCAGAGAGGGTGCATCTGTCCAGCGGATCCCGTAGTAAAAACGGGCCGGTGTACACAGTACAACGGTAGTCAGCCGCAGAGAAGAAACCCTGCTGTGTGTAGCAGCGGATGCACCTAGAGGCCATCGTACTAGAGGTCAAGCGCAGAGGAGATGGGGAAGGCCAAGTGCCACGTGGCATCACGTGTGTGTGGAATCTAACGTGACATGATGCACTACACACAGAACTGACACACACGAGGCCACAGACTTCTGGCTACCGAAGAGGCGGCAGGGAGAGACAGCTTAGGAGCCTGCGATCAGCAGACACACGCAACCGTGTGTGCGACCGACACCAGCAAAGATGCACGGCCCAGCATGGGGGCTGCGCTCAACAGCGTGTAACAGCCTGTGACGGGAAGGGTCTGGAAGAGATAGATGTGTATACAAAACTGAACCACTTCACAGTACGTCTGATGTGAACAGAGTACTGCAAATTAACTCTACTTCAATAAAAAAACTGACATGCAAAATAAATGAAACTAAATACATTCCGTTTAAAGCAACGGTATGTTGTTTTTACTGAAACTAGTGTTAGGTGAATTCGTTCACTCTCTGTTTCACTTGCTAGTAACTGAATTCTCTTGAGCGTGGTGGGCCACCTTTCAGTCCTGTGACATTTTTTATTTAGCAGTAAACACTTCTAAAACTCAGACAAACGGGGGGGTGTGGGAAGCAGGTGGGCTGGACTCTGGCACCCCGAGCCTGCAGCTGCTCTGTGCCTGGCAGCCCCGGGCAGGGCTGGCATACTCAGAGGCTGGGCTGGGCAGGGCAGACACGCGCAGGCGACGGCCGGCACCCCAGAGGCCCTGTCACCTGGCGACACCTCCAGGGCTACACTTACCGAGGACCTGATGCTCAGACATGGCCGCAGCCCCCCGGCCGAGGCTGCCTGGACCCCGGTGTGAGCGGACAGTCTACCTCTGCTTCCTCGTCCACATTTCCCGAGGCCCGGCCGCCTGGTCCCGGGAGCTCTCTGACTGCGCATGCCGGCCAGCGTGAGCCGTGCTGGGGCTGCTCAGGGACAGGGCCCAGCCCCCGCCATCACGCGGGTACCGCCTGAGGCGGCGGGCGCCACCCCCATTGAACTGCCTGCTAAGTGGCCAAGACGGCCGGGATTCCAGGCGGCGGCCACTCCCACCGAGGGCCCCTTGACTGGTGACCGAGGCTGTGTGATGCTGACGCCCGTGCCCTTCACCCTAACCCCTGGCGGAGCCCTTACCTACGAGCTGAGAGTAGAACTTGGACGTCTCCAACAGCGAGAGCGCGCAGACCACGGGGCTGGACAGTGCAGCAATCAGCAGTGGCCCGAGGAACGTCCTGGGGACCACGCCGGGGAACTCGAGGTGGTCAAACTGCAGAGAGAGGGCGGGTCAGCCGGGCCCGGGCTGGGTCCCCGCGCCGCTCGGGCAAGCTCACCTTCTCCACATCCAGCCGGTGGTACAGCAGGTCATGCACGGCCTGCAGGTTGAAGCTCTCCTCCACCTTGGTGTAGGGGCAGGCGGCCAGGTGGACGGCAGCCACCACCAGCAGCAGCCCCAGGAGCTGGCGCTGCCCACCCAGGCCCACCGGCCTCCTCCCAGCCATTCTGCGCACCCGCCTCCCAGACTGTCATCCGCCGTCAGCACCGCAACGCTTGAGTGTTTCCAAAGGATGGACACACAGGTTCCCAAGCTTCAAAACTCCGCTGGCATCAACACCTGGGAGACGTGTGTGAGGGGTAACAGGACCCCTCTGAAATGCTGTACCTTCTGTAACCTGGAAACACATCAACACAAGACACTCAATGAAAGAACAATCATGCTTAAGAAACTCTCACGTTTTAACCAGCCATCTTTCTCTGTCACCTGTCTGCAAATACTCTTCCAGGAAGAAGGACCCAAGTTGCAGAGCCCGAGCTGGGTGCACTGGCAGCGGGGCCCCGGGTCAGCCCGGCCCTGGACACAGCAGGGCCAAGAAGCTGGGGTCTGGCTGGAGAGTCAGGAACACGCCGGGCCCGGCCCCAGGGCAGTAGCCCGGGCAGACAGGCTGGGGCTGTGAAGCGGGAGGGTGGGGGGCGCACCCCGAGCTCAGCAGAGCAGCAGCGATGAGCAGGGGGTGCCAGCGAAGACCCGCGCACCCGGGACTGTGTGACGGGGCGTGGACTCTGCATCCTGAACTTTGCCCAGGAGCCTCTGAGCCCCAGGAAGCACCATGCTGGTTGTGAGCACAAACCGGTGGATGGCAGAAAGCAAGCATGTTTCTGGGGGTTGGGGGGGAGGCGCAGACAGATGCCTGCACTGCAGGCACTCACACGCCAGCAGGACTCTGGGGGTACCCCGTGGAACAAAGATTCTGAAATCGCGGAGCATCCGGGCAGCTCCTACTCACGGAAAACCTACATTTTTCAACTTGGTGAGGGAGGGAAGACAGCAAATTCTTCCTGTTTGTGGCTTGTCTTAAAACAGGTTTGCTTTCCTTTGAACAAAACCAGAAGGGCAAGAAGCGAAAGAAGAGAACCACAGTGCCGTTTGTTAAAACTACTTTTTGGTCAGAGGGAGATGTATGAAGTCTCTGCTCTCCCAAGTCAGCAAGTGGGGAATCCACAACTGAATAAAATCTGGAGGAGGAAGAGGAATCCTGTTCAATACGGCAGTGGTGGCGAGGTGGGGGAAGTAAGGGAGTCAAGGGGGCTTTAATAATTCAGAATTACCAAATAACGCAGTTCCGAGAGAAGTAACAGAACTTGGTCCCCTTACCAAACTGTAAGGGCAGGATTTTCCTGTTTTCCCACCACTGTAACCTCAGCAAGGAGGGGCTCTGTTCATCAAGGCTCATGGCTGCATCAGCACCTGGTGCTCAGCAGGTGCTCAACAAACTACTTGAAAAACAAATTCATAAAAGCTCCTAAGTGTGGATGTCATCAGCTTACATTTTCATTCAGTTCAGTTCAGTCACTCAGTCGTGTCCGACTCTGCCACCTCATGAACTGCAGCACACCAGGCCTCCCCGTCCATCACCAACTCCCAGAGCTTACTCAAACTCACATTCATCAAGTCAGTGAGACCATTCAACCATCTCATCCTCTGTCGTCCCCTTCTCCTCCTGCCTTCAATCTTTCCCAGCATCAGGGTCTTTTCAAATGAGTCAGTTCTTCACATCAGGTGGCCAAAGTATTGGAGTTTCAGCTTCAGCATCAGTTCTTCCAATGAATATTCAGGACTGATTGATTTCCTTTAGGATGAACTGGTTGGATCTCCTTGCAGTCCAAGGTACTCTCAAGAGTCTTCTCCAACACCACACTTCAAAAGCATCAATTGGTTGGCACTCAACTTTCTTTACAGTCCAACTCTCACATCCATACATGACCACTGGAAAAACCATAGCTTTGACTAGATGGACCATTGTTGGCAATGTAACGTCTCTGCTTTTTAATATGCTGTCTAGGTTGGTCATAGCTTTTCTTCCAAGGAGCAAGCGTCTGTTAATTTCATGGCTGCAGTCACCATCTGCAGTGATTTTGGAGCCCAGGAAAATAGAGTCTGTCACTGTTTCCATTGTTTCCCCATCTATTTGCCATGAAGTGATGGGGCTGGATGCCATGATCTAATTTTTTTTAATGTTGAGTTCTAAACCAGTTTTTTCACTCTCCTCTTTCAGCTTCAAGAGGCTCTTTAGTTACTGTTTGCTTTCTGCCATAAGGGTGGTGTCATCTGTATATCTGAGGATCCTGATATTCCTCCCAGCAATCTTGATTCGAGCTTGTGCTTCATCCAGCCCAACATTTCACATGATGTACTCTGCATATAAGTGCAATAAGCAGGGTGACAATATACAGCCTTGACGTATTCCTTTCCCAATTTGGAACCAGTCTGTTGTTCCATATCCTGTTCTAACTGTTGCTTCTTTACCTGTATACAGATTTCTCAGGAGGCAGGTCAGGTGGTCTGGTATTCCCATCTCTTTAAGAATTTTGAAGTTTCTTGTGATCCACACAGTCAAAGGTTTTGGCATAGTCAATAAAGCAGAAGTGGATTTTTTTTGGAACTCCTGCTTTTTCTATGATCCAACAACCAGTTGTGGATGTCACTGGTGATGGAAGTAAAGTCCGATGCTATAAAGAACAATATTGCATAGGAACCTGGAATGTTAGGTCCATGAATCAAGGTAAACTGAAACTGGTCAAACAGGAGATTGCAAGACTGAACGTCATTTTAGAAATCAGTGAACTGATTCCTGGAAATGGAAATGGGTGGATTTAACTCAGATGACCATTATATCTACTACTGTGGGCAAGACTCTCTTAAATGGAGTAGCCCTCATAGTCAAGAAAAGAGTTTGAAATGCAGTACTTGGGTGCAATCTCAAAAAACGACAGAATGATCTCTGTTCATTTCCAAGGCAAACATTTTCATTAAAGACACATTAATGCTTTAATTTCCAATGACGCCGAGCAGACCACGGAACATTCACATGCCGCTCTCTGTTCCTCTGTGAGGTTAAAAAACTGTCAAGAGCTAGGAAGCATGTATAAAGCCAAGTGCTGGGAGCAGCTGCACACGTGCCGCTTGGCAGGACAGCTCACCGCCGTTTCAGGCGCATCCCTGCAGACCCCACTCCACGCCCCTGCCCACAGCACACTCCCCTGCAGGAAAACCTAGACTCTGACATCGCAGGGGGCTTCCCTGGTGGCTCAGACGGTAGAGAATCCTGCAATGCAGGAGACTCGGGTTCGATCCCTGTGTTGGGAAGATCCCTAGAGAAGGAAATGGCAACTCACTCCAGTTTTCTTACCTGGAGAATCCCATGGACAGAAGAGCCTAGTGGGCTACAGTCCATGGGTTCACAGGAGCCGTGGGGTGAAAGCTACATGACAAACCCTGCTCCAGGCCCTACAGGCTTCTCCCCCAGATGAGGGTGCTCTCTGCTGATGGCCGAGAGCAAAGCAGTTTATTCTGGAAGGCACTAGCAGCACCCTGCATGCCCGCCCGGTACCAGGAGACACACAGGGCATGAGCAGGTACACAAACCACAGCAACCCCCACTGGGCCGAGACCGTGAGCAGAGGCACCTGCGCTGGTCCACACCTGCCTGCAGCTGTCAGACTGTTAATCCGAGCGGTTGAAACAGGCCACGACTGAGGGAACTGTCGTTTCCACGACGGAGGCCCCTCAAATTAGGAAGCGACCTGCAGAGGCCCTCCAGTCCCCGTCTATTGCGAGGTCTCGACTGAAGCCGGTCAAGTCAGATGCTCACGTTACTAATTCACTGGAAACACAGAAACTGGCGGAGATCAGGCCAGAGAAAACTGTCTTTTGTACTTCTTCCTTCTGGCAGTTCTGCCCTAGAGACCAGGTAATGCCCACCTTCCTTCTCCTAACTTAAACCGCGGGTTTCGGCGCCAACGGCCTCGGGCACGGGGGGCGGGGAATGCGCACTCCTGGGTCCCCAGACACACTTCTCAGGCCCCAGGTGACGCGGCTGGCCCCAGGTGAGGAGCCTGGCGGTCGTCCCGCGTGCACGCGCACGGTGAGGCCCGAGGAGCCCCGCGACGGCGCCAGCCAGAGGTCCCCTCAGCCCGCCCCGAGAGCCCCAGCCGCGCGCGCTGACCTCGCCAGCCCACCGCGCGGTCCCTCGAAGCGCTCGCGCCTGGGCTGTCCACGGCCGGAAGTCGGGTGGCGGAAACCAAGAGCTTCGGCGACGCCCTTGCCCGAACCTAACATGGCCGCTGAAGCTCGGTTTCTGTCGCGGACGCCCTCTCTGCCCGGAGTAAAGATGGCCGCGCCGGGCGGCGCGCGGAATAGGCGGACGCAAGGGGCGGGCCTGGGCCTCCACGCCCCCCACGCCCGGCCTCCCGGCAGGACGCTGACCCGGGGCCTTCCTATTGGTAGCCGCTCGTGGCGAGCCTGGATTGGACAGCATGGGGGCGGAGCGGGCCTAGAAGGCCAATCGCCGCGCGAGGGCTGGCGTGGGGCGGGGCTCCAGCCGGCTCCGCTGAGTATCCCCGGGAACGGCTGGCGCTTCGGAGCCGGTGGGCGGCCGGAGGCCGGAGTGCTCGGCTGGTTCCCGCTGGACTTCGGCCTGTGCCCGCGCGGCCGCGATCCCGCGACGCAGTCCGCCTTGGCCCGCCATGCGCCCGCCGGCCCCGGCCGTGCTGGGGCTGCTGCTGCTGCTGCTGCCGCCCGGCGCGGCCACCAAGAAGCCGACGCCCTGCAAGCGCTGCCGGGAGCTGGTGGACAAGTTCAAGCAGGTGGGTCGGTCACCCTGTGGGGACGGGGGCGGGGGGCCGGGGTCGCCCCGCCGTGGCCCAGAATCACCCCCTGTGGGCCTGCGATCACCCTGCCGTGGACTGGATCATCCCGCATGGCCTGTGGTCACCCTACCATGGCCTGTGGTCACCTCACCGTGGCCTGGGTCACCTCATCATGGACTGGGTCACCCCATGGACTGTGGTCACCCCACCATGGACTAGGTCACCCCACCATGGACTGGGTCATCTCCACATGGACTGGCTCACCCCCCCGTGGACAGGCGTGAGGCAGCAGGGCTGACCCTTGCAGCCCTCTCCCCACAGGGAATGGTGGACACGGCAAAGAAGAACTTTGGTGGTGGGAACACGGCTTGGGAGGAGAAGACGCTGTCCAAGTATGAATTCAGGTGGGCACCCTGCTCTGACTGGCCCAGCGCCCGCCTTTGGGGCCTGACGTGTCCCTGGGAGTGTCTGCAGACACAGAGGGTCCCTTGGGCACAGTCACCTGTCCTTGCCTGGGGCCGGCGTGTGGGCCTCCGACTGGCCCCTGGCTGTCGCCTCACCCTCCAAGGGGCAGACACAGGGGTCTTTTCAAAATACAAGTGGGGCTGGCTCCCCGCCCCAACCCAGAGCTCCAGCCCATTGCCAGGCTTCCCTGGGTGGACCTCACACTTGATGTCCCACCTAAGGATGAACAGGCCTCCCTGACCACCGCACCCTCTGCGTTTAGCTCTCTGCCTGGCAGTGATACCCCCAGGCCCCAGCTGGGTGTTTGTCAGGGGTCTGTTTTCACTGAACACCAGCGTGGCTGCGGCGCGGCAGCAGGGGGCCCACAGTCATTCTGGAGCGTGGTCGCTGAGGTGCCGCACGCGCCCGCCTCACGGTGCTGCCGGCCCTGTGTTTCAGCGAGGTCCGCCTGCTGGAGATCGTGGAGGGCCTGTGCGAGGCCAGCGACTTCGCGTGCAACCAGCTGCTGGAGGAGCAGGAGGAGCTCCTGGAGGCCTGGTGGCTGCGGCTGTGAGTGCGCAGGGCCCGCGCCCGCCATGCCCGGGGTTCGAAACGCACTGGAGACAGTGGGGCTTCCACACACCTGATTTCTCCCTCACCCACATTCCCGTCCTGTTCCACCAAAGTGCAGCGATCCTGACGAGGGAGTTAGCTGGGAGAGTCTGCTGGCCACAGGCCCTCATTTCCCGGGTCCCACGATGCTCAGAAGTGCCTTACATTCAACTGTGGTTTTGTTTTGAGGAAATCCGCCACGTGAGACTCAGTGGATGCTGTTTACATTCTCAGGAAGAAGAAGCATCCTGACTTATTTGAATGGTTTTGTGTGCAGACACTGAAAGCTTGTTGTTCTCCGGGGACTTATGGGCCGGACTGCCTGGGTATGTCTTTCTGTGGGGACCCTCGAGTGTCTGCATGGTTCCTGTCGTGGCTCCAGGGGCGGCGGCTCCCACAGGCCTGGGTGCTGCCCCCTCCCGACTGCAGGGACCTTCTTCCCTGGTCTGGTCCCAGGTGTGCTCCCAGCTCACCCCTGGGTTCATCGTAACTCACTGCCTGGCCCTGCCCGCTGAGTGAGAGGAGGCCCACGGCCAGCAGAGCCCTGTGCGAGAGGCCGGGGTGTCCAGCCTTCAGGGTTCCGCCCAGGCATCATGGACACGTTCAGGTGGATCACCCGGGCGGAGGGCATGATCTTGGCACTTAGACCCCGCCCCAGCCCCCCCACTGTCCTGCTGGTGTGTGGCCGCAGCGGGATGTCCTCACTGTCCCCTCCTCGGTCCCGTGTCCCCAGTGAGGCCAGGGCCCGTGTGTCCTGGAGAAGGGGCAGAGCGGGCCTGGGGTTGCAGCAGGACTCAGAGCGGGGGCTCCCAGGCGCGCCCTGAGCAGCTCGTGTCCCCAGCGTGCCAGGGCGGGTCCGAGCGGCCCTGCGGCGGGAACGGCCACTGCAGCGGAGACGGCACCCGAGAGGGCGACGGGTCGTGCCAGTGCCACCTGGGCTACCGGGGGCCGCTGTGCGCCGACTGCGCGGACGGCTACTTCCGCTCGCCGGGGAGTGAGGCGCCCAGCATCTGCTCAGGTACCGGCCCGGAGCGGGGCTGTGATGGCGGGGGGCGGGGCCGGGGCCGGTCCTGCTTTGGGTCCCTGAACAAGGCGCGGACAGAAGTGCAAGGTGATGCCCCAGGATGGCCTCCTGGGCCGGCAGTGCGGCACCGCCAGCTCCACGACAGCCACGCTGGGCCTGGGTGCTGTGTCCTCCGGGAGGCTCGCGCGGCCCTGCTGCCCCGGCGGGAGGCTCGGCGCCGGCGGGAGCGGGCTAGTTGTGGCTGCAGTGCTCGGGCCGGGTCTGCGGAGCCCCTTCCGGGGGGCCGGTGGTGTGACTGAGAACCGCACAGCAGAGGCCATGCAGTGTGGCCCCCGGGTCCCCGTGAGGAAGGCACGCCACCTCTGTTACCCTGGTGTCGGGAAGGGCAGGCCCCCACGGGGGTCTTTGGAGGCGCCCCGGCCCTTGTCCCAGGCTCACTCCTGAGTTCCGAGATGTGCCCATGGGGTCCCACAGATGGGGCCTTCTCAGCTGGGATGGACATGCCAACCCTTCCACTGGGGGAGGCCCGCGCCCCGCTCATGAGGCTGTGTCAGCCCAGGGCAGCATCCAACTACGTGTAAATCCAGGGAGGAGGCCACGGGGGACGTCTGTTTCCTCGTTGGCTGTCACTGCCTCGGGGGGAAGACTGTGGTGGGCCGTGGCAGTCAGGTCTGGGGGCTGGTGCTGCGCCCTCGGGCCTGCCCACAATAAGGCCAACCACCCCGGTTCCCACCCAAGACCTCCCCGGGCCTGGCAGGATTGCATGTGTTGGCAGGCGGCATGCACACCCAGTCAGGTCTGGGCTCCAGGCTTACGAGCAGCTCCTCTGAGTCCTCATTTGTTAAGAATTTTATCACCACCGGGCATGGGAATCCCCACGTGTTGTCTTTTCTCATTAAGTCCAGTGTTGCGAGTTACATGAGTATTTTTCTGTTATTGAATCAGTCTTGCCTCTTTGGGATTTTTGCTTATTTTCACCCTAACAAATGTCAGTTGCTAAGGCCCAAAATGACCTTTGCATTGAGTTTTCTCCTGAGACGTGCCTGCCTCTGCCTTGCAGCCTGTGACGAGGCGTGTAAGACATGCGTGGGCCCCACCAACAGGGACTGTGACCAGTGCGAAGTAGGCTGGGTGCGCCAGGACGACGCCTGCGTGGGTGAGGCTGGCAGGCGGCCCTCCCCTCCACGCCCCCCACCCCGGACCCCCGCCCCCCGCGGGATCTGCCGGCCCAGCACCCCCAGGACACACCACGCTCTGCCTGCTGCGGATGTGCTGGGGGAGACTGGCGTCCCCAGTTGTGCTTTAAGGGGTCACAGGTGGAGGCTGAGTTTGTGGGTGGGCGCTCTTGGCCACGGGCGGGACGCTCCGCGAGGACCCTCTGTGGCCTGGACTCCGGGCTGGGAGGGTGGCCCGCAGCCTTGCTGTCTGTGGCCTTGGGGGTCCTGTTGGCTCAGGAGGGGAGCCTGCCTCAGGCCTAGTCACGTCCCCTTGGGCCCTGCGGGGCTGGCAAGGTGACGCTGCAGGGAGGGGGCAGCCTCTGACTGTGGTGACGGCGCAGTCCCGTGCTCTGGAGGCCCCTGACCAGGTTTCCTGGCCTCCCATCACCCGCTGCCCGCCCTCAGGTCTCGCCTGGACTACAGCCCCGCCCGCAGCATCTCAGGGCCTGGGGCGGGTCCCTGTGCTGCCTGGCTGCGCCAGGGGGTCCGGCCCCGGGTTTGGTTTCAGCCTCCCAGCTGGCGGGCGTGGTGCCCCCCGCGGCCTTGAGGAGGGGCTCGCGCTCAGCCGCTGCGCTGTGCCCACGCACGCGGAGGCCCTGGAGGATGGCCGTCCACGTGTCCCCAGGCAAGGGGCCCCCTGCCGGCACTCAGCGGTGATGTCGTTTCCAGATGTGGACGAGTGTGCGGCGGAGCCGCCTCCCTGCGAGGACACACAGTACTGTGAGAACATCAACGGCTCCTTCGTGTGCGAGGGTGAGCGCCGCCCGCTGCCCCGCCCCGCCCCCGCCTGCCCTGTCCTCCCGTCCCCACCTCGTCCCCGGTCCGTCCTCCTGTCCTGCCAGCTCCCCAGACCTTTGTAGTTTGTCTGCGTGACCCCTGCATGTGCTGCCCACTTGAAAAGCTTAAGGTGGCAACATGAGTACTGGCCGTTTCCCGACCATCAGGAAGC